CCCCCCCGGGGCCACTGCCCCTCGCTGAGCCCCACTGCCAGGATGGTGACAGTCACCGCTGGGTGAGCAATGGCCATGGAGAGGGACCCCTGCCTGCCCCAGGGGGACCCCTGCCCACCACATGGCCATGCCTAGGGCTGTGCACCCAGGGCAGGACCTGAGACTCAGCCTCTGCCTTAATTGGGGTGAGCTTTAATTAACGCAAATGCAAGGGCTTGATCAGGACAAGGGGGAAGGTGGCCCTAGGGTGGGGTGCAGCCATGATGGGTGGCCTCAGGGACTGCCACTGCCAGCTGAGGGGGGTGCCTGGAGTGCCATGAGGATGCCCTCGAGACATCGCCTCATCCCTCGGGAATCTAAGGCGTGGTGGCAGTGATGCCCTTCTCTCTGCGGGAGCTGGCAGGCCTCCATGCAACAAGTTCACAAGTGCACAGCCACCACCTGCCCCCCCCCCGACACCCCCACCTCGAGCGGGGAACAAGCCGGGGCGGATGCTGGGCTCCTGGAGATGTGAGTTTTATTAATGGCGCCGTGGGGATGGGGGAACACGGACAGGGCGTAGAAAAACACGTTGAGGGCAGGAGCGGCCCCTGCCTCCGGGGTGAGGGGCACCAGCAGCTCCTCCAGCCCGGCCGCAGCCTCTCCTCCTCCACGAGGCTCCGGCTGGCGGGGGAGGGCTGGGGGGTATGGGGCGGGAGGGGTAATGGGGGACAGGAGCGGGACGGAGGGGACGGGGCAGGGGCCACCCCGCAACGTCATCTGGGCTCGGTCGCAGGGAGAGACGAGAAAACGGCCAGAAAAGGAGCAACGATGGGGGCAGAGAAACCCTCCCGGAGAGTAGTTTTGGGGGGAACACAGGGAGGGATGGGGGCAGCACGGTCCCGTGGGGACCCCGCAGGTCCCTGGGGAGGGGGGACCGAGGCAGCCTAGGGGGGCAGACCCAAAATTCAGTGGTTGTGTCTTCAAATAGAAAAATTACATCAGTGCCCAGGGCTGGGCAGGGCAGCGGTTGCGCAGAGGAAGGTACCGACCGAGGGGCTTCAGAATGGGGCGGGGGGACACTGGGGCATCCCCGAGGCTGGGGGACCTGGGGCGAGGACCACACCCCGCTCCTCGCCGGGTCCCGTGCCCCGGGGTGGCCGCTTCCTGGAGCTGGGGGGGCTGCGTCCTGGCCCCCCCTCCCCCGGCGGGGCGGGGGCGG